TCTCTCTTGTATCCTCATTGTGGAGCAGACGCCGCTATTGCGTTCCTAAGGGTAGAGGTTGGGCTCTATTAGTAACCGAATTAGTGAGTGGTTGGTTGCTTTGGGTTTTAAAGAGCTATTGCACTCCTGGGCTCCTGATCTCCTCATTTGTCTATGTATAAGTTCCTAACTAAATATGTTGTAACTTTAAAATTACGAATTCTCACGTCTTTGGCTTCTTTATTCGCTTTATAAGCCCCTTATCACGAATATTCTCATGGTCTCCACTAGATGTACTATTCTGAATAAGTGCGAATTCCGGCTAAAATTTGAGACACATTCATTCAGGAAGTGTAAAGGAAAGAAGAAGCCCAAGATCGGAGAACTCCACTTTATTTACGTAAATTTGAGATACCTGTATGGATGACATAGACAAATATAGCGGAAATACGCTATTTGAAGAGCCCAGGCCCCTCAGCGCACCGCCCTAGAGAACTTAGGGGAGGGCAAATGCATAATCATGTCAACCGCAGTGAGATGCAAGGGCAGATGGCGAAAGCCGGATGCCAGCCTTCCTTGGCTTTCCTATCCGACGATTTCCCACAGGGATAATGGAGACGAGCACTGGCTATTGGGGGGGATAAGGGAGAAGAAGAAGAGGAGTCGGGGGTTTGTTCCAATCCGGTGAACTCTGAACCCCCCCGGCAGTGGATCAGCGGACCGTGCGTGGGGCCTAGCGCCTCGCAGGAGCACCCATAGCCCGTAGAAGAATGAAATGAGGAGGCCAAGACACAGTGAGGGAGCGCTCCGGAGGATAAAACACGCCCTGCATCAGAACCAGAAAAACCGACAGAGCCTCGAGCATTCCCAAATGCCATGCGCAAGCGATCAGTCTCCGACCCTGAGCAGTCTTATAACAAGGAAGCATGTGTTTTTGGGCGGATGTTTCAGAAAGGTACGTTGTCTGGGCGCAGCATGTTGATCCGAAATCACGCTGTCGCGTGGAGCCTTCTAGCACTCGGCTCGTACGCGCGCTCTCGCGTGGCGCATCCCTACGTTTTGAAACACAGACAAAAATCACCCAAAAGAGTACAAACTCACAAATTACTGGCCTGATTGCACAGACTTCTGAGCAAGATCCTGGGTAAGTTTGAGGCCAGTACGAGCTGCTGCGGCAGCTCATCGATGAACTGCCGCTGCCTTCGGATCCGCCGCTCATTGATGAGATCGGCCGGGTCTTTGGCGTGGAAGGCACAAAGCTTAGGATGACAGAGTCCCCATATTCTAGGCAAGCAGTCATTCATCAGGTGTTCAGGCCTTGCGCTCTGCAGATCCGCCTGAAGCGGTTGGGCGGGAAGAGCACGGCAAACGTGCACTTCTCAAGATCACTCTTTGTCGCGCTTTTCATTCTAGATAGTTCGACCAGTGACGTTTGAGGTTGGCATGTTGGTTGGACAACTTTGAGCGAAGATGGGCGATGTGCTCTGAGCGGTCACAGCCTTCAGGCACTTGATATTTCACGCGAGGAGACACGTGCTGGTGAGCTGTCATAGGGAACTTTGAAGGGTATGCCACAGTATGCTCGAACGGGCATCAGGAGGAGGCCTTGTTGGAGCGCATGGTGATTAAGCTTGCGGTCGACGGGGTGAAGAACTCGGGTGCCACAGCGGAGATATGGCTCGCTTCCTCCATGTGTGGTGCATGCTGGAGTCACATTCGTTTCTGGCTGTCGTATTCTGAAGCCGTTACAGGGCTTGGACAGCGAGTGTAGCTTTGTCCACGGACTAGCCCATCTAAGCCCAGGCAAGCGCTTCAAACGATTCAAGAAGTGGCTGGAAGACCAGCCTCCATTTGATATCGTCATCGACGGGGCAAATGTGCCTAGGGTTGCAGCATAGCACCGGCATTTTGAGAACCCAACAATAAAGTCCTATGTATATGTAGAAAGAGGTGAATCCAAGGTTGGCTTCAACAACCAGAACCGAGAAGGTGGTTTGTGACCAAGCGGCAGCTGGAATGTCAAAGTTTTTGTGACTGCTCAGCTTTATCATGCCACCTGTGCGGCATCCATGCTTGCAAGGTTTCAATATAGCCAAATCGATGCCGTCATTCACAAGCTGCGAGAAACAGGGAGCCGGGTGCTGCTGGTACTACACCCCAAGTGGTTGCGTGCAGATGCGGATCGCACAGTGACCAAACGAAAAAAGCGGAAACTTGAACCCTGGCATGCGCAATCCTTTTTTCTGGCTTTGCACAAGAAATTGCCTTTGGAGAACTGGAAACATTCTGCTTGGGAAGGTTTCATTTAGCCCATTTCACGCCTCAGGATCAGATCAACCTGGAGTCAGGACTCGGATCATCTGAGGAGTCGCCGGAGGATCATGAGGACCGACGGGCCTGGAGAGGTATTGGCAATCACTTGTAGTTGGGTTGACGTAGTTTGCCGACACAGGGACTTTCAGACTAATATGATTTTAGCTGGCTACAAGGATGGGGAGCCGGAGATCCAATATCCCTTTGCTTCTCGACAGCACTAATGGTGTGTCCTCAACAAAGCACAGGCAAAAATGTTTTTTTGGCCAACAAGGGTGGTTGCCAGCAGCGGGTTAGTCTGCTGCGCGTTTGCTTGGCTGGGGTGCAGCACGTTGATAGGATGTGTGTTCAGCGTTGGTTGCAGGACCAATTTTTACAGCCAAGGACCCCATCACTGATGCCGAGCGAAGCGCGCCCTCTGGCACACCCCTCGGCTTCATCCGACAGTGGAAGGCTCCTGTGTTCACTACTGCATGGGTCGTCTTGCAAGACCGTTTGACGTTTGCGAGGAGTCGGAATGTTTAGTTCGTGTGCCCGCAAAGGACTGCGCTTGCCTCAGCTTGTTTGGCGGATTTTATGATTTTGTCCGAAGCGTGGGCAGTTCTTGGAAGACTCTCGCTGCTCCAAGGCGATGACTGGTACTGGTTGTTCGCTGCGCTTTCGTCATCTCGTCGAGGAGCTAGGCATGTGCAGGTGGTCTCCCGACCACGATACAGCCTCCGCAACGTGCAGTTCATGGTTTTAGCAGTGTGAAGCGCCAGTGCAAGCCTGCTTCAAGCCTGCTGAGGTTAGCAACGATCACATGCGGGACCATCACTGGCGGATGGTTGGCACCTGCCTTTGAACAACATTGTTTGAAAGCCCGTTGCCGCCAGCACAATCTCAGTCAGTCGATGCATAGCCAATTCGTTCAAAATTTAGCATGTGCCATTCTGGTAAAGTGGCTGAGCTTGACACATGCTCGACAATTCTGGATGCGGTGCAAGGCAACCGCTCGTTCCTGAAGTGGCAAGGAAGGCACATGACCAGGGTCAGCATTTGGTCCGAAACCTCAGATGCGGAGAACCTTGGAGCAAGAACGTCTCAATTTTCTGAATGTCAGCTCAGCATTGCAGCATGCACCATCTAAAAACATGCATTGGCAAGGAACTGCAAAGTCACGCTGACACCGCCAGACCTGTACTCCATGCAAGCACAGGCAGCGCCAGGTGTGTTTTACATGAGTGGCTGCGCTTTCAGGTTTTCGAGAGGATCTGAACTGAAATCGTGCTTCTGGAGTAGATGGAGCCATGTTGCAGTTCAGCATGGAAGCTACAAACGTTGGAGAGATTTCGGCCACGGCAGATTCATGTCCTTGATTCCTAGCCTTATAGGCCATGATAGTGCTCGACTTGGCAGGTCTCATGCGATGGTAGCCACTGGCATTTTCCAGTCCCAACGCTGCCAAGCCGAGCGCAGCAGCTTTCCTCTGGACGTCCGTTACCACGCAAGGAGCTAGCAGGGTCGAGGCAACAAGGCAAGCAGGCATAATGGTTTGAGCAAGAGACTGGCGATTAGTCGAACGAATTTGGACTAGCTGCTGGAGTCATGACCAGGGTCCAGCTCTACCGCCTGGAATGCTAGGAGATTGAGTCTGCTGAGTGCCACTGGCTTGTTGCCTGGCACATGAAGTGACGGTTGCCGGCGAAACTGTGGCGAACGTGCCGTTGCTTTCATCATCCGGTATAATGGGCAAGTGGTGTGCATGCTGAGCTCCGTGCTTTGCATCTGTGGCGGCGATGACACGAGAGCAATGAAGTGGCCACTTGGCCAAGGCTGATCACGCCAAGCCAGCCCTCATCGATGCTTCAACATGCCAAGATGCTCTCATGGGCTTGCATTTGTACAGACTGACCTCCCGTGACGACAGTGGTCAGGGCCTTTGACTCAGACAAATTGCCATTTTTCTAGGTGCATCTTGGAAAGAAAGAACCATAAAGAGGCTGCAGATTTCAGGAAGGCCTTGGGTCTGAAGCAAAGCGACAAAGTGGCTCCAGTTCCGTAGCCAGGCGTTGGTCAGTGGCATGCAAGCTCGGCATCCGTGCGCTCGTGCACAAGATTTCATCATGGTATGCCAGGAGTGTATTTCAGCATGTGGATGAGAATGCACTGTGCCACGCTGTGGGCAGCAAACCTGCCAGAGGCAAGTGAAGCCCGAAAGAGCTACATGCTTGTCCGCTCGCAGGCAGAAAACGAAACAGCTGCCACGTAAGCCGTTGTAGCATTTCCTGCTGGCTGGGTCATGGTCTGAGCACAAGACGCATGATGGACACTTTATTTGTGGGAGCGCTGTTGCACCAGGAGGGTTGCTTTTGTTGGAACTGAGCAATGTGGAACTTGGGGCGGCTTGCTTGCGGTCTCCTCGTCCTGGCTCTTCAAATGTTCCTGAACTGAGATCCAGTCATGTTACGCATCTGATGAGTAGCATGGTAGCTTTCTCAATTCCTTGAGACGAAGCCTTGCCTCGAAGGCTTCTGTTCCTGACGTTGCTAGGCTGCACCAAGACCCGTCTACCTTGTAAAGACGTAAGTTAAGCAAAATGCATGCGGTCACCCATGCTAACAGTGTAACAGGAGTCTATCTTGTGAGCCCCGGTCGGGCATGAGGCTTTGCATGATATTGTCAGGTCCAGATGCTTGAGCAAGGATAGGCAGCACATGGCAGCATTGACTACAGCGAAAGATGCTTCAAGCTTTGCACGACGGAAACTAAGCACAACCTCTTGTGTTCAAGAGGTATGTGCATCGCCGGTCAGCTGCACCGCCAGTGCTGATGGATGGCCCCTTCACGCTGCGGATGGTGCAGCAAAAGCCGTTGGTTAGCCACTCCAGCTTCACATAGTGGTTGATACCATTTACACCACAAGAAAAATGCCCTGAAAGCCATCAGTGTACAGAGGAGATGGTTGGAGGGGTCCCATTGTATATTATCTTGTTGTTTGAGTTTGGCCAACGCGTAGATGTGCGCAACGTATGTGAGCAACGGCAAGTGAACTTTAGGCGTGCTGCCGTAGCTCTTTTATGCTCAAGGAGCTTAGGCGTCCCAGCATGAGGTAGCATGCCGGGGCCTTGTATCGATGTGGTAGGAGACCCTGGTGTCGTAGCCTGTTTAGGCCTAGGCTTGCGTCAAGGTTCCCACCTTGAAACAAAGTTCCTTGACCTTCAAGGTAATCCTCAGAGGCAAGGACTTTTTAGAGTCCACGAGGTGAACGAGGCCACTCGGAATGGCCAGTGGTTTTCAGCCACAATTGTGGTGGTTTCTATGGGTTCCTGCAGGGGTGGTTGGATAGGAGCCGGTGCCTCTTGCGGAAGAGTCTTCAGGGTATTGAAAGAAAGCCGCGCTCTTGAATTCCGCGCGGGACAGATTGGGGCTCTGACCGTGGGGGACATTTCCTCCAAGCAGCCCGCGTGGTTGGAGCAGAAAGCGGCTCAACAGGATCTCGGGTGCGAATTAGATGCCCTCGAGAGGCCTGCTGAAGCGACACCTCCTGCAGGGGAGCAGCCCCCTTCATGGTCAGGGGCAAAGCCGCAACCTGAGGGACTTTGCTGGCTTCCGGGCTCCGGCAGAGAGACGAAGGGAAGGAACGCCGTGTAGAGGCCAGAGACCCTCCGAGGCTTTCCCCCGCTGAGGCTGCGCTTGAAAAGAAAAGGCAGCTATCCCAGGGACTGCGAGCGATGAGGACTTGAGGAGTGAGAGGAGTGAGAGGAGTGACCCCACGCGGTGGAGAGAAAGGACAGGATGAAAAGGAAAGAGGAAAAGAAGGCCCAGAAGGTGTGTAAGGGTGTGGATAGAGGCCCGTTTGGAGGAGGGAAGGCTATCTTTATCGAGGATACTTCTTCCTCGGATTCCGAGGGATCGGATTTTAGGGACGCCTTAGAGACCTCACTCGCAGCGCAGTTGCTGGAATTGTTGCCCAGCGAAAAGGCCTTCCTCCTAGACACCCCCAGGGGCAGATCCTTAGGCAGAGAAACCGTGGCTCTGACAGCCAGGACCCTCCTCCCCACCGGGGCGAGGAGGGGCAAGGGGCTGGCAAAGAGAAAGGTCAAGGCAAAGGGAGGCAGAAATCAAAATAAGGCGCAAGCTAAGAAAGCAGTGGTACCGGCTGCGGCTGAGGAATAGTCGGCTGTGGGAAGAGGCACTGCTTTTCGTGCCGCTCTCTGTGCAACCCTGATAAGGAAGCCTATGACCCCCTGCTTGGGGAGAGTGAGCCTGAGGGCTAAGGAAGGCGGGGACGAGGTGGACCTCAAGCAACGGACTGGCATCCTGTCCGAGGGTCTAATACTGCTGCTGTTGGGTAACACCTGTGCCTGCCCGCACCTGAGGTTACCCCTTGCCCAAGACTGGCAGTCAAGGAAATGGCTGCCTTCCTTACCTCCTGCGGGAAAGTTGAATCAGTGCTTGGTGGCTCAGCTATTGCTGAAAAGGTCCTTTTGCCCAAGTCTGTTGACTATGATGGCTTTCCTGTAGGTAAAGGGACCCGCGGAAAGGCCAGTGCGGTCGAGGCGCGGTCCATGCCGCCGAGGACGATTGTAGTCAGACCGTCAGAGCCTGAAAAAGGCATGTTGACGGAGGTTGAGGAGGAACGCGTCCCGTGGGATGACTGCGGGCATCTTATCGTGAATGGGGCAGGTGCAGTGGGCAAGAAGAAGATCAGAGATGGGAAGGAAGTTGGGACGCAGAGGGTTATGAGCAACCTCACCGCCATAGATGACGTCTTGCACCAGCTCCCAGGCGATCACGATAGCCTGCCCTGTGTGGCTCAGCCTTCGTTGCTACTCCTCGCGGAGGAAAAACCAGCCGTAAGCAACCAGGGACAGGGCGTACCCAACCTTCAGCAACCTCTGCAGACAGAATAGGCTTCGGACGGGGGTTAGCAAGGTCATCAGGCAGGGATGCTTGAGATGCAGTACGTTTTGCAGGCGGCTGCGGGCGCTCAGAAATTCGAGGCTGTGGTGCAGGTGGAGGACGAGGTCGGGGCTGAAGCAGCGAAGACAGGTCCTGTCGGGAAAACGCCATTTCTAACAAGACTATATTCTAGCCACCAGCTACGCCGCTTTTACACAATCTACAGTTAGTCTGAGGACTCTGAGGACCTCGCTTCAGCATTCTACCTTTTCACTGTGCCCCCATGCTGATGCCCCGACTTTGCGTGCACGAAGACAGTGCCAGGGTGGGTGTTAGGGTCGCAAGCCGTATGGGCCAAACCAGGCCTTAGGGTCTTCCCCATGGGCTGGTCGAGCGCAATTGCCATTGCGCAAGCGGCAACCTGTTTTTTTTTGTGAAGGCTTGGATTGCGTACGACAGTTGGGCCCGTAACGACAAGCCCATCTCTGGGGGAAACAAGGCGCCATTGTTGGGAAGTGAAGTCCCTGGAGGGGCTCTCCAGGCAGGTATCCAGGGAGGGCGCCTGGATGGAGATCGAGGCGCTTTTGGAGGGTCAAGGCTTGTGCTGTGCACGGTGGCGCTGCTCACCAAGGCATAATGGATGGAACAGATGCTCAGGCAATGAGCCACCTTTACAGCATTGTTCCGCCGCCCTGTCTTCCTTCCCTCTTATCGAGAAGTCCCGTCATTTCTCAGGTGGTGGACAAAATCCTTACCTGCATCTCGTTCACGCCTTTGGCCCGGACGGATCTTTAAGCCCAGCTAGCAGGGAAGATGTGTGCACGGACGTCTCACCTTGGGGAGGTGGCTCTGCAGTGGCCATCCTCCCAGAGAGCCTGGAAGTTCCATGGCACAGGACCAGCAATGCGCTTGCTGTGGGGAGAACGGGAAGTGGTCAGAGTTTGACTCTTCATACCCCTGCCCTTGCTCACGCGGCCACTGGTTCTACGCAATAGAGTGTGTCCGCAGGTTTTCGCTAAAACCAGGGCTTAGTGCAAATCTGTTTCTGGCCAATGTGAATCCCCAAGGTCTTCGCAACACCTCTAGTCCCCCGGGCGGGACACCCTCTCCTAAAGTTTTGGGCCTTCGCGACATTTCTTTGTTTGAGTCCTTGCCAAAACAGGCAGGGGGTCAAGGAGATGTTGCATTTTCTCCTTTTGGGCCTCTTGGCTACTGCCTAAACCCTGACTCAACCCGCTGCTGCAAGTTCTTACCTCCAATACGTTCAACTAGTTACGATGGGGGCGCCGTTCCACACATAGGGCCAATGGCCCCTAGCCTAATTTTTGAGGTTTGGCCCTCAAGGCGAGGCCGATGCGGGACAAGGTTCTGCTGTACCCTGATCGCACCGAGCCACAGCCTTCACGCGCAAAGGTTTGTGTGTCCTTCCTTTTCCCTGCTTCCCCCTTACCAGGGCAGTTGCCCTTGCTAAGGTGGCGGTGCATAATCCCTTGAACGGGGAGAAGGACGAGCAGGATGATTTCTTTGGGGAAGAAGGAAAGGCCAGACTTCACAAGTTGGAGACCAAACCCGACGTCGTGGCCAGGCACTGGGCGGTACTTTCAGCTGCTAGGAACAAGCTTGTTACCCCCCGCGGAGGAGAAACGATTGCAGGCCCCCCAGGAGATTCCCAGGATGACGCCCTATTCAGCTCAGCTTTGAGGCGGTCCCCACAGAGATTTGTAGAATCACGCGACGGGATGCGTCCCAGTACTCTCAATATGTCCACATTGTGGACTCTCAGGTTGCCC